ATTCTGTCTCTCAGAGTGGGAATGCACCTACAATGTGAATTTCAGACCCCTCCATGATTTCTAAGTGGGAGAACTTGCAAAATCGCAAGGTGTTCAAATACTTCTGTTCCTCACTATAAATAAAAAGTTTAATTCATAAACACACACTTACTCAGCCTTACTAAATGACAACAACTACCTAAAGTAGTTAAATGTATAAGATAGTGAGATGAGAGAATGCTACCTTATTGGACATACGCTGGCAGTGCTGTTCAGTAGTGTGGATGAGAGTCTGGTCCAGATCCACCATCAGGACTAGCTTTTTGTTCCGGTGGAGTCTCTGCTGGTCTTCTCTGCCCAGCTGTTCTGCTTGCTGTTGGAGTGACAATGCATGGCATATCAGAAAACAGAGTCCTCCTGGTACTTGTTTACATTTCTAGCATGAAAAGTGATTCAAATTGAGGACACAAAACAAATGGAACATCTGAGAAAAATACTGCAAGAGGTAGGGTTGCTCTACATTCAAGCACAGTGCACACACAGACACAAAACACACACACACACACACACACAAAAACTTCCGATTCGCAGTGTACTACAACAGCCCTGCCTCTTTTGTGTTTATTTTCGTGTTTCCTTGGGCTTCTGTGTTTGCGTTTTTTGCTATGCTTTTCCGTAAACGCTTGTGGAGCTGGGCTACCAGGGATACAACTTTTATTGCATTTGCATCGTATTTTGTACTTTTTTTAACGAGCTTTCGAGTCTGCCTCGGGGGGACCCTTGTGTCGCGGCCCCGACTGTTTGCTCTGCTTGCCAACAGTTGGCTTCCTTGTTGTGAGTTGCCGGGGATTCCCACGGAGATGCATTGCTTCACCGGGACTCCAGGTTCTGTGGTCTGTGGTGACAGTTCTCCACAGATCCCGGGCTGGCTCTGCTGCTGCGTGCAGGCGCACAGTGTCTCGGCAGACACAGCACCCGCAGGCCCTAATCCTCCTACACAAAGAACAATAAAATTCTGGACCATACCGTATGCTAATGCTAGGAATGTGTACACTCCGCCCCTCCCCCTCTGACCACAGACTGCCCTGTCTGATTTGAGTGAGCGATAACTGTTCCTGACTTTCTCTTAAATGTGTGTACTGTCTTGTTTCTGGGGTATTTTCGAATTGTTTTTTTAAGATTCTTGATTTGTTTTTAAGAGATCCTTGTGGTGTTTGCTGTTTTGAAATGCTTGTACTGTCTTGTTTTTTGGATATTCTTGATTTGTTTTTTAAGACGCGAGTTCCAGGAGCTCTGTCCTCTTTTGTTTTTTTTCTTTCCGTGCTTTCTGAATTTGTCTATCAAGATTGGTGTGTGGTATCTGTTCTTATGGTGTCTTGTTGCTTGCTCTCTGTTGTTTTTGTCCCTTACTGCTGCTGGAACACTGGAATTTCCCCACTGTGGGATCAATAAAGTTCTACCCTACCCTACCCCCACCTTATAATGTAAGGTATGTCTGCCCCCTACCTACTCAGTTTTCCAGGTATCTCCATCATATGACTCACCTCAGAGCTGACCATCAGCTCGGGGACACTGTGCACCATGGAGACTGTTGCTGTGGAGATGGGAGTTTGCTGGTTTCCATTAGTGCTCTGCAGCCTAAGAGGGGGAGAATAGAAGAGTGGGAGCCATACATGTTGTGGTTTGTGTATCTCTTAGGTCCTTGAACATACTGTGACTAAGCAGCTTTCACAAACAGAAATTTACATTTCTTATGCTGCAGTAACTAGTTTAATTTGAGCAAATGTTCACTGTGAGAACAGGAAATACTCCAGCTAGCAGGTGATCTGGCTGATTGTTGGCAGTTTAGCTTCTCCAGACTCACATTTTAACCATCATGCAGGTTATCATGGCATTCAAATGTATTAGGACCTGTTGTGCACTTTATAAATGTTCTATTCTTGAATAAATTATTTATTTAATAATGCACTACATGAAAACACTGCAAAAGCATTGTTTAAAAGAATGCATTTGTTTTTGTAATGTGGAAAATAGATTTTTATACATTCATTTAATTGATTAATTGTAGAAATAATCAACAGATTAATCAATTATTAAAATAATTGTTAGTTGCAGACCTAAACACAACTTTCCATCTATCATTCAAGCAACACCTTTAACAACAGCCACACTTCAACATCACAGTCCTTATAATACCCTGGTAATATGTTGCTTAGTTTAAATCAAGGGACCTGAATAAATTCAGTGTCATCATGGATTCTCAATGACAGCTGTAAATTTGACATCTTCATCAAAATAAAGGAGAGTGCAGAGTGTGAACACTTGCTCTATGACCCGAGTTGTACTCAGCTCTCTCTCTGCATGATCTCTGGTGCCACCTGATGGTATCAAATAATATAAAATAATGCATTTCCTTACTGAGTCAGGTCCTGGCCACATTCAGCACATAGACCCTTCATTACTATTGGATGGCTGCATTCCTCTATTCTGACGATGACACCCCTACAAAAACAGAGAACAAACATCAGCATAAATACTTAGGATTCAGTAAACCTGTAACACTACACATTAGTGTAGGAGTCCCAGTAAATGAACATGCTAGGCTAAATAATACGTTTGCTCAGTGCTTTGCTTACAGGTAGCAAACATGTTGTGATGATTAGCTGATTATTCAAAAAAAAAAACAATTAAAAGGTCACAAGCTTGCTTTTTTCAGCTTTTCCAGTATGAGAACTTGCTGACTTTCTGTTGACAGAAACAGATTTCTGTTGTGAACTGATTTCTTTGGGTTTGGAACTTTAAGTCAGACAAAACAAGACATTTCACAATGTCACTGAGGTCTGGATAACTATGTGCTTTTTTAAAACTATTCTTTAACTTTTTAAATACTTAAGCTATCAGTCAATCACATAAATACCTGTTGCAGCTCTAACTATTATGTTTAAGAACAAGCTGTAAATGTACTTCCAATAATGAATAACCTGGTATAACTCACACGTTGGCTTGCCTTGTAATTAAAACACCACAGTTTCCTCTACTGATAAAAACAAACCTTTTATAGTAAAGGAAAACCTTGCTAAGATGTAATAAGTTGCAGTCTAATATTTGTACATGTATTAAAAGCCAAGTTAAAAAAAACATTTGAGCATTATAAAAATCTAATCTTTTGGTAATCTGTGTAACTACTTGATGCGAACTTTCTCATCCTTCTACTACTGCAGTACAAGTATCTAAATACGCTTTTATGACCAAAAAGTAGAATTTTTATTAGATACTCTAAAAAAAGAGCTACGACTATTCTGAGCAAAATGCAAAGGTGACAAGTAGAACCGAGTGAGTGCTTGATGTGTTCCCGATGTGGCTGCCGAGATACGCATCTATTATTTTGCAGTAAATAGGCGAGCAAGGTAAACCGGGCATAACAAAGACAGGCTCAAATTCACGGGAACTACAGCAGCATCGGGCCAGTCCACCTGTCAACCTGCTGAGCGAGGGACGGTTGTGTCAAGGCGCCCAAAACAACACGACACTTCAAAACCTTTTGCCTTCAAAATAAAACTAAACACATTGCCTGTGAGTATGATTGCAAGTACGTTATAGTCATGAAAATATCTAGTGTTAGCTAGAAGCCTGCTTACAGTTGGTTTTTATTTCCACTATTACTACAACAAATGAAAAAGTTCAGAAAAAAATATATAAAATAATACACATATTTTGAAAGTCTTGGGGAAAAACTTCTGTTTGTTTATTTTATCTTTCTTGACAGTGATACAAGCAAACGCTATGAGCATTGATCTAGGTACAGCTAACAAATACGCCCACTTAGCAATGTTAGCTCGCTAGCTAGCTAACGTTACCCTGCGAGTGAAGATGGCAGCTAGCAAAATGTTGCAGCTGAAATGCCTGCAGCCTTTCCGGCAGGTGAGCAGGTCTGTAACTTAGATTAGTTAGCTATAACAAGCTGAGTGTTGAGTGACTCACCCGGGAGGTATGACTTGTCCAAGTTGACAGCAAAGCTCCTTCACTACTCCAGCACGGTCCGATTTCACCTTTCTCTCTGGCAGCCTGGCAACATCTACCCCCTTCTCCTCAAGTATGGGAGAGCACAGTGCTAGCACGGCGTCCACGTTGACAAGAGAACCGGGTTTGACTTTCCACTCTAGAAGCCGCAGAGGAACAGACCCAGTCGGCCAGCGGATATCTGACAACTGCCCCACGGGGCCCTCCGCTGCTGCACCACAGTCCCCACCGCCAGAATCTGCAAGAGGATCCTCCATCTGCCCCGCACTGTCCAGAAATCCCTTTAGTTTTCAGCAACAGTCCACTTAAAACGTACCCACTAGGCGCCGTAATACCCGTGTATTATTAAAACGTGCAAACCAACAGAATCCGCGATAATTAAAACAAATGTGCTGCAGATTTAAATGCAGTATGTTCCACAACCACCTATGTTCGCTATTCCCGCCCGTAAACAGGAAAACGCAACACTTCAGCGCCAGGGGTCGCTACAACATCCGGTAGACCATGCAGCCACTCGGATGAAAAGCACTCTTCTTTTACACACAGGTTTCAAAATAAAATGTCTAATGGAGACACTAGTGCCCTATGGTTTCTTTTTAAACATTGTAAAAATTACAGTTTCACTTAATATGTTAGATGATTTTTTTTCTAGAGTTTGTTATTGTTATGGACAGGCTATCACCTGCGTATCTGTTTCTGTTTTGTGTAAGTGAGTCATCTTACAACTTGTTTTGAAGGCCACCACACGTTTCCTTTCATTCTGGCGAAATCTGACTGGCAATTTGCTCTGTATATCAATGGCACTTGAGGCAGGCACATAACAAGCGGGTTTCGACACTTGCAATAGAATATCGTGTTATAAAAATAAATCCCAACAAAATATGTCTATAATAACACAAGTCACTCGAGCTATCTTATATTTTGCCAAAAACCTTCCCCAAGGCTTAAAATGAGCACCATGGCACAGAAGCCTACCTGATGTAAGATGATGCAACAAAGAGATAAAAACACACTGCTGTCTCATGTGGCTTTGTGGCGATGACTTATTGTGTGGATGCTGTCAAGTCTCCACACTATGCTCTCCTGTTCTTTATTGTTCTGGTTTCTACCACTGTTCTTCGGCACCTAACTCCTTCCACATACTTTCACCTAGAAGGGCCATTCAGGTATCAAACTGCTTATCTCCTTAAGGACATGTGTGCTTGTATACAACTTTTTTTTTATAACTTTCATACTTTTTATGATATTCAGCTTTTTATACAGAAATTTCCCCATTGGAGGCAGCACGGTGGCACAGTGGTTA